CACCTACTAAGCACGCTGAAGGTCCTAGGTCCCAGGACCCCCCCCCCCGCCAAAAAAGTAATAAATAAGCAACTTACTGGGACACTGGCAGCGCTTCCACTGTCTTGCCTACGTTAGTACTCTGTGAAGTGAATGGCTATGAACACTTTAAAGCACCTTCTAGATGCTCAGGCTATTTAAGTCACGCCATAGTTTTCAAGCTGGTCGTTTTCCTTGACAGACTTTTCAAAAACAGTCTAAACTCCTAGAAGCTTCTAGTCCAAAGACCAGGAATAACAGAACCCAGACGAGCTGACGAGCACTCCCACTGTCTCCCGTCTCACACTCCCAGCCTGTTTCCCCACAGAGAAAACGAGGGGGAGGACAGCACTGGGGTAGAGGCTATCACATGCTGCTGGAAGACAGACACCTCTCAGTGCTCAGGCCCCGCGTGCCCTACCTCTCTTAAGCAGAGTCTTCAACTCCAGGCACCCAAGAGGATGGGGATGGCAGAAGGAGGATAAGGCCAAACGGTATACAATGCTGCTCTGAAGGGAAAATGTCCGCAGCCAGCAGCAGCCAGGCCTGGTGGCAGGTGAGCCCTGCACTTGGGGGATTTGGAGCTAGAGGCAGAATGCCATACAGTAGGGTTGCTACACAGTGAGTTCGAGGACAGCCTGGGTTACACAGGACTTTGTTGTGAAGAAGAGAAAAAGGGAGGGTGTCCACGTCAAGGGGCTGGTCCAATCATCGTGCCCTTGTGAAAATGAGACTAGTAAGCCTGACAAAGCTGAGCGTGGGAGCACATGCCTGAGATACCAGTGGCAGAGGCAGGAAGGCTGTTACATGTTCAAGAAAAGCCAGGGCGCTATCTCAAGACCCTATCTCAAAAAAACAAGGGGCTGGAGAGGTGGCTCAGAGATTAAGAGCACTGGAGATTTACAAGTTGGTGTAAATCTTGGCTGTAAACCAAATTTATAAGTTGTTCCTCTGCTCTTCCAGAGGACCTGGGTTTCTTCTTCAGAACCCACATGGCAGCTCACCTGTATTTAACTCTAGTTCCAGGGGATCTAACATCCTCTTCTGCCTCCTCAGGCACCAGACACACACCTGGTACCGACACATATGCCAGCAAAACACTTAAAAATTAAAAAGAAAATGAAAACAAAAAAGACCTAAGATAGCCAGGCCCAGTAGTTCCCACCTTTCGTCTCAGCACTTGGAGTCTAGGGCAGGAGGAGCTCTGAGAGCTCTGGGCCAGTCTGGTCTACAGAGCAAGTCCAGGCATGCCAGGGCAAAGTGTTAAGACCTTGTCTCAAGACAAAACAAGGGCTGGAGAGATGGCTCAGTGGTTAAGAGCACTGACTGCTCTTCCAGAGGACCCAGGTTCAGTTCTCAGAACCCACATGGCAGCTCACAACTGTCTGAAGATCCAGTTTCAGGGGATCTGACACCTTCACACCAGTGCACATAAAATAAAGTAAATAAACAATAAGAAATATTTGGGGGTTGGAGAGATGGCTCAGCAGTTAATAGCATTGCCTGCTCTTCCAAAGGGCCTGAGTTCAATTCCCAGCAACACAACTATCTGTAATGGGGTCTGGTGCCCTCTTCTGGCCTGCAGGCACACATGCAGACAGAATATTGTATACATAATAAATAAATAAATAAATATTTAAAAGACAAAACAAATATGAAAACACAACAGCACAGAACTGAGACGGCTAAAAGGAGACTATCAGTCTGTTAGAAATGGGAAAGAGGACAAGAGTGTGAGCAAGCCTGGGAGACACACTCGCAACAGTCACGAGAAAACTGAGGCGGCTGCATACACAAGCGTAAGGACCTGCATTCCGTTCCCAGGAGCTGCGTTAAGAAGACAGGTGTTAAATGGCGCACACCTTTAAACCCAGCACCTGGGAGGCAGAGGCAGGGGCATCTTGAGTTTGAGGCCAGCCTGGTCTACAAAGTGAGTTCACGGACAGCTAGGACTGCTACACAGAGAAATCCTATCTCAAAAAAACCAAAGCCAAAAAACAAAACAAAACAAACACCCAGGTGTTGGTGGCATGAGCTTGTAACCTAGCACTAGGCCTAAAGCAGAATTAGGAGACCAGCTAGGCTAGCCTATTTGATAAGTTCCAGCACAGTGAGAAAGACCTTGTCTCCAAAAGGTCTTTCTCACTGTGCTGGAACACACAGCATGGCAGCATCTGACAAATGACACACAAGGTTGTCTTCTGACCTCTATGGGTATGTGCACACGTGTGTGCACACACATGTACTCATGGACACACACATACATGCACATAAAATAAAAAGAGAGAAACCAAGAAGAGGTACTGCCTGTCTAATATCCATGACCATTAAAAGCCACATGGTAAAAAGGTCCATCATTATTGGAACAGAATAGTTAACCAGGCATCGCTGGACGACCTTGCGAGCAAAGGTACAAATACCCTCACACCTCATAAGGCTTGCACTTACTCTTTATGAATCTCACCAATCAGATACCAGCTGGCTGTATGTGTCAGCTCCTTGTGAGCTGAGTTAACGTGAGTCATATCTAACACAACCAGGAGGCTGCTCAGAAGTCGACACGGCAAAGGGCATGGGTGTTCACATGGGCCCGGCACACAAGCTGATGAGATAATCCTACCCACCACAAGCAGGAAGTGCCAGGACTCAAGGAGCCATCGCTTCCGAGTTTGTTCTTTCTCTCCGGTCTTCACATTTGCAGTTCAAACCTTCCACCTTGACCCATTCTTTCCTCCAAAGGATGAGCCCACCCCAGGCCACCCCCAAAGCCAGCCCCTCCTCTCCACAGACATTCAGACCTCCGCCTCTTGCTCTGTATCCCACCAGTCTTGTATCTAAATGTACAGCCTCCTCTCTAAATCTCAAAGCTGAATGTGTTCCACTTCCACCAGCTCCTCACTAGCCAGAGTTGCTAAAAACACAAACTCCCTAGCTGGGGTGCAGCTCAGTGCAGGCTCCTGCTGGGCCTGGCTCCAGCCCCTAGCAGGCCATAATGATGATACAGGTGCCTAAACCCAAGGCCAGTTTAGGCTTCTGTCTGTAAGTTCATCTTCAGTATAGAAAGTCTTAGGTCATCCTGGGCTACATGTCTCAAAACAAACAAACAAACAACAAATGGAGGATGAGGCAGGGGAATAACCGGACCTTCAGTGTCATCAATGGCCAGAGCGAGTTTCAGGGGAACAGAATGGGAGGTCACTTCTACACAGCCTGTCAGGTGTCTGTGAAAGGGTTTCAAAGTCACTGATGAAGGTCACTCTCATTTGGAAAACACTGCTTCAAGTCAGCAACTGAGGAGGCTGGAGAGATGGCTCAGCGGTTAAGAACACTGACTGCTCTTCCAGAGATACCCAGGTTCGATTCCCAGTATCCACATGGCAGCTCACAACTATCTGTAATTTCAGGATCCAACACCCTCACATAGACATACAAACAGGCAAAACAATAAAATAAAAATAAATTAGAAGAAATCAGTAACTTGTAGTGATATTTTATTTGTGTTTTTAATAAATAAAGCTTGCCTGAAGATGAGAGTGCAGACCTAGGCCACGAGAGGCCAGGGAGTGGTGGCTCGTACCTTTAATCCCAGGACTCTAGCCACCCTGGGCTACATGAGATTGAATCTGTTTAAAAGAGAAACAGAGTTCCTGCAAAGGTGACTTTAATCCCAGCACCAGGGAGGTGGAGACAGGAGTGCCATGGCTGGGTGGAGAGAGGAATAGAAGGCAGGAGGAGACAGGAGCTCAGTGCAGTCTGCAGTCACCCTGAGGGCAGGATCGCCCTTTAGTTTGTCTGAGCCTTGATAGGGTCAAGAACTCTCTAGTGACTTGGCTGCTTTGCTTTTCTGATCTTCAGCCTGAACCCCAATATCTGTCTCTGGGTTTTTATTATTTGTGCTACAGTAACTGAGAGTCGGTGTGGCAGACACAGTAATTCCAGTACTTGGGAAGTAGAGGAAGGAGTTGAAGGTCAGCCTCAGATACATAGTGAGGTCTGGGCCAGCCTGAGCTACAGGAGTCTACCTCAAATAAACAAACAAAAAATACAATGACAAATATTAATAATGACTTTTCTGTATCCACCTGACATTTACATATACTCTACAGCCTACGGCAACAATCTGTTACACCTGCCCCCTAATGCAACTGCACAGCCTCTGGTCCTTACACAGCTGTTAACAGCTGCAGAAGTGAAACTATTGGAAAAGGGATACTTTGTTTCTGCTTGTATGAAGTGTGAGTGTGTGTGCATATTTTTTTCCTGGTTAGAGCATATTGACAACTCTCCAGTTATCTGAGTATTATATTACATTAAACCCTGAGGTTAACAGCAATTTTTTAAAGATTATTTTTATGTGTGGTATGGGTATTTCCCTGCATGTGTGTCTGTGCATTGTGTGCATGCCTGGTTCCTGTGGCGGCCAGGAGAGGAAGTTAGATGTACTAGGACTGGAGTTGCAGGTGGTTATGAGCAGCTGAGTAGTGCTAGGGACTGAAGCTGGATCCTTTGGAAGAGCAGCCAGGACTTTCCACCGTGGGCCATCTCTCCAGCTCTCCAGCTCCTTCACAGTAAGTTTTTAAAAATTAAAAAAAAAATAATAAAGACGAAAAGAAGGACTCTAGCTCAGCATAATTTCACCATGGCATAAATTCTTCTCCCCTTAAAAGTAAAAACCACACACAAAGCCAACCAGAGAGCATCTTCTGAGGTTGCTAGCTTGCCAAGATATCACAAATGTGGGCAAGCAATCTTTCGCTCACATCCTTAGAAGCAATATTCAAAAACCTCAAAACCTCCTTCCTGCCACTTCAGAAAGGAAGCCCCCCTGGGCGGGTGCGGCCAAGGCCTCTCTGCTGTGCTGACGAAAGATCTACTGTCATTACGCTGCCCCATCACCACAAACAAATGAGTGAGAAACGGGGAAGAAACGAGAGCAGCCTAAGGGAACCGCAACAGCGAAGTTTGTGGCCAGTTCTGGGTACCTGTGTGGATGGACGGACGGACGGACGGACGACAGATGGATGTGGTCTTGGGGAGGGGGGCAGCTCCACAGACAGGAAGCGCGCCTGCTAACACCGCCAGCTCTCCACACCACTCATCTTCAGCACCGTCATTTGTACCACCTGCTCTGCGCAACGTCCTTACAAATGTTCTGATGAAAAACAACAGGAAAACAATATATGGGGCTTGAAGGAGGCTCCCAGTGTGATGCTCTGGGTACCAGGGGAGAGGGAGGCATTCTGTGCAGGCAGGCAGGTGGCGGGAAAAAGCTTAAAGCTGGGGTTTTCTTCCTCCTTTTCTTTTCTTTTCAAGATTTATTTTATTATGTGTACAGTGTTCTGCCTGCATGCATGCCTGCAGGCCAAAAGAGGGCACCAGATCTCATCTGGGATGGCTGTGAGTCACCATGTATTTGCTGGGGATTGAACTCAGGGCCTCTGGCAGGGCAGCCAACTCAGCTCTTAACGGCTGAGCCAATTCTCCGGATCCCTTTTTTTGGTTTTGGGACAGGGTTTCTGTGTATAGCTCTGGCTATCCTGGAACTCACTTTGTAGACCAGACTGAAAATTTTGCTTATTTTATCTTATGTGTATGACTGTTTTGACTACATGTATGCATGAGCACCACATTCATGCCTAGTCCTCTCAGAGGTCAGTAGAGGGAGCTGGATTCCCTGGAACTGGAGTTATGAATGGTTCTGAGCCACCAAGTGGGTGCTTAGATCCAAACTCAAGTCTTCAGATACTCTTAACCGCTTAGCCATCCCTCCAGTCCCAAGGGTGGGTTTAAAAGATGACAATAGGAAAGGAAGGGAGCATGTCGGCTAGAGGCCCCTGGGAGGGGAGGCAGACCCTAAAAAAGGAGGAACTATAGCAAGTGCTGGGTGGAGAGAGGATGGGGTGCTGGCAGGCAGTCTGGGTGGAGAGAGGATGGGGTGCTGGCAGGCAGTCTGGGTGGAGAGAGGATGGGGTGCTGGCAGGCAGTCTGGGTGGAGAGAGGATGGGGTGCTGGCAGGCAGTCTGGGTGGAGAGAGGATGGGGTGCTGGCAGGCAGTCTGGGTGGAGAGAGGATTGGGGTGCTGGCAGGCAGTCTGGGTGGAGAGAGGATTGGGGTGCTGGCAGGCAGTCTGGGTGGAGAGAGGATTGGGGTGCTGGCAGGCAGTCTGGGGAATCTCTGAGCTGCAAACGTGGGTCTACACTCCTTGCACTCATGATAATGTGGAACCTTGTGAGATCAAGAGACTGCGACAGGTGGTTATGAAAAAAATCCAGCAGAGGCTGGGGAAATGGAAAGTACTTGCTTTGTAAGCCTGGGGACCTGGGTTCAGATCTACAGTACACATGTAAAAACAACCAGGTCTCGGCACAGGCCTGTAAACCCGGTTCTGGGGAGGTAGAGACAGAAAGATACCTAGCCAGCTAGGCTAGCCAAATCAATGAGTTCCAGGTTCAATGTGGGATCTTGTCTCAAAAATAAAGTTCAGACTGGAGAGATGGCTTAGCATTTAACAGCCTGTTGCTCTTGTGTGTAGGAGGTGTGGTTGTGTACGCCTTTAATCCCAACTCTTAGGATGAAAAGGCAGGCAGATTTTTGTGAGTTCAAGCCCAGTCTGATCTACACAGGGAGTTCTGGGGCTATCCAGAGCACCATAGCGAGACCAATAAATACACAGACAGTGTGATGCTCTTGCGGAGGACCTGAGCTCTGTCCCCACCGAGCACACTGAGTGGCTCACATCTGTAACAACAGCTTCAAAACATCCACTGCCTCCATCTCCCTGGGCACCTGCACACACCCGCGCACACGTGAATCATCCCCCAACACATTATACATACTTAAAATAAAAAAATAAAGTGAAGAAGGCCAGCAAGGCGGCTCCATAGGTAAAGACGCCCACTACACACACCTGCAGCTTGAGTCTGGCCCCTTGAGCCCAAGTAAAGGTGGCAGGAGACAATATACCAAAGTTGCTCTCTGACCTCCACATGCCCCCCAACACATAAAATAAGATATAAATAAACTGGGTTGGGCAAGATAGCTCACCCAGTAAAAGATGCTTGTCCCAAGCCTAGGGACCTGAGTTCAATCCCCAGGACCCACACGTGAGAAAACTGACTCCGGTACATTTTCCCGAGTTCCCTCCACGCATGTGCCATTTGGCATGTATGCACACACATAAGTAAATATCTGTGGAATTTGTCCTTCAAAAAGGTCAAGAGCAAATGAGGATGACACCTATGCTGACCTCTGGTCACCACGTGAACACAAGAGCACACAGAGTAGGGGACAAGGCCACCATCTTAGAGCAGAGAAGAGGCAGATCCTGAGTGTAGAAGGGGACAGAAAAATACTGTGCCCAGTGGCACTCCACAATGGCACACCAGGCTCTCTGGGCCTGCCCACCTTTCTAGCTGTGGGTTGGGGACTGAGCCTTATTCTCACGCCTCTAAGTTCCCTCTCTCTTTTTAAGACTTATTTTTATCTTACAAGCGTTTGTCCTGCACGTATGTATGTGTACTATTGTTTATGTTTGGTATTGGAGGAGGCCAGAAGAGGGTGTCACATCCCCTGGAACAGAAGTTACACAATTGTGAGCCATCATGTAGGTACAGGGAATCCAACCTGGGTCCTCTGCAAGAGCAGCTAGTGCTCTTACTCACCGAGCCACCCCTCATTCTCTCCCTTTCTTTTTAAAATTATTTATTTTTAGATGAAGCTAGAGTCTCAAGATATAGCCCAGGTTGGGCTTGAACTTGTGGGAATCTTTCCGCCTCCACCTTCCAGGTGCTGGGATTACAAACTTGCATGATCACACACAACGAATTTGACCTTTTCTCACTCAAGCACGCTGGCCTCTCCAGTGCAAGTCAAAGCAGCTGCGCATCTCTGCAGGGGAGTGACAGCTCACTGGGGAGCAGCTTCATTTGTGGAACTGTGCAGAAGCGCCCGGGGACTGAGTAAAATGCCTCTTGGATCATCCCATTTCTGTCACCTCACTGCTTTGCCCACCGAGCAATCCTTTGGTTATGCAGTTCAGTTTTAAAACTTGTGTTTTGAGGGCTGGAGAGATGGCTCAGTGCTTAAGAGCATTGCCTGCTCTTCCAAAGGTCCTGAGTTGAATTCCCAACAACCACATGGTGGCTCACAACCATCTGTAATAAGGTCTGGTGCCCTCTTCTGGCCTGCAGGCATACACATAGATAAAATATTGTATACATAATAAATAAATATTTAAAAATTTATTTATTTTTCCCCAACAGAGGTTGGGGAAGTTTGTGTCTACTATAAATTCACAGATTGGCCTGTGAATCTGGAGCACCAATCATTCTTAAGTGGCCTCCATTTCATTTCCACTGCCCTCTGTTTGGCGGGGTCGTCTATCCAGGGATCCAGGGCGGCAGTCTTTCCCAGGCACTACCCAGCTCCGACCCTTCTCTTCCCCTTCCTGAACACAGATGCCAGGAGCTCCTGCTGAAAACCCTGTCAGCTCTCCAGAGCCCCCAGGAAGCCTGCAGGATTCTTGGTGCCAGCGCTGTTCCAGCCCCTCTTCTTTTGTGACACTCATTTCCTCCTGCACCTCCCCTGCCTGCCCTCCCCTCACTCCTCTTTCCTTTGCGTGTCCAAACAACTTCCTCTTCTTTGATAACACACACTGCCTCGCGTGACTCATAATTAGTCATGTTTATCCCCGGACTGCGAGCCTCTGAGAGACCAGACTTGGTCTATTTTTATACCTCCCCATCTCCCCAGGGACAGACACGGCATCTTGCATGGGTACGCTAAGTGGCCATTTATTGAGTCTATGTTGTGCCAAGGCACCTGGCTGGTGCTGGAGGTAGCAGATACTTAACATGTCCCTGACAAAAGGGACATCAAAGTGCTCTCTTGTCTTAGGATGTTCAGGCGAGATGCCTTCTTTGGCCTGTGTGTGTGGAGCTGAGAACGCAAGCAGGCTCATGGTGGCAGCCTACAGGAGCAATGCCTGAATTATTTCAATGTTCCTGTTTCACCCCTCCCCCAAAAAACTGAGGCATAGGGTCGACAAGATGGCTCAGCGGCAGAGTTGCTTGCCAGCAGGCCTGTAGTCCTGAATTTGATCCCCGGAACCCACAGGGAAGGAGTACGACAGACAAGCAGTCCTCAGACTTCCACATAACTGCTGTGGCATGGCTACCTGTACACACACAGAAAATAAATAATGTTTTTAATTGAGGCATGTCTTATATCCCAACTAACACAGTTCTCTTCTTTTCCTCTTCGTAACTGTTTTTCTCCCTCCTTGTATAACTGTTTAAAAAAAAAAATACTGGAGAGATTGCCCAGTGGTTAAGAGCACTGGCTGTTCTTCCAGGTCTTGAGTTCAATTCCCAGCAACCACATAGTGACTCACAACCATCTGTAATGAGATCTGGTGCCCTCCTCTGGTCTGCAGGCACACATGCAGACAGAACACCGTATACATAATAAAATAAATCTTTAAAAAAAATAAACAAAGGTGCCGGGCGGTGGTGGCGCACGCCTGTAATCCTAGCACTCGGGAGGCAGAGGCAGGCGGATCTCTGTGAGTTCGAGGCCAGCCTGGTCTACAAAGGGAGTTCCATGACAGGCTCCAAAGCTACAGAGAAACCCTGTCTCGAAAAACCAAAAATAAATAAATAAATACATAAAATAAACAAAGAACAACAAACAGAGTTTCACTCTGTAACTCAGGCTGGTCTCAAACTCTTAATTCCCCTGCCTCAGCCTCTAAAACACTGGAGTTCCAAGCGTGAACCTGACTAGTTTGTGGGGTGGAGAGGAAAAGGCAATGCCAAGTGTCACTCCTCCTCAGGCGCCATCCACCATGGTGCGTTTGTGTGTGTACACGAGAACAGGTGTGTGCGTAGATACACACCATCAGATTGTGTCTGGAAGTATTCAGAGGACAGCCACAGGTGTTGTTTTTCAGGGACCCCCACCCACCTTGTCGTTTGAGATGTGATTTCCCACAGACCAGGACTCACCAGGTAGGCTAGGCTGGCCAGTCAGCAAGGTCTAGGCATCCACTACCCCTGCCTTCCCAGCGCTGGGATTTTAAGTGTGGACTACCATGACAAGCCCCACCCCCTCTTCTTTTCTATAACTCGAACTCAGTTCTTCATGTTTGCACAG